CTTTTCTTTTCTTTCTTCTACCCCCTTTTTTGCCGTGTTGGGGTCATATCCAGGTCCTTTCATTTTTTTGGTGGGGGTCAGTCTATCATCAAATCGCTGTTGGATATTGATTGTTCTGTTTTGTTTTTTTCTGCGTCTATCTGTGCTTGTCGACCTGTGTGCTCTGCGAAGAAAACCGTGTGAGCCGCGTCTCGAGTTTGTTGAGCGGGCCTGCGGTGTGCGAACTAAACGATGCCTACAGATTTTGACGGCCCCATGATGACTGACATCCATCACGGCAGCACCGTGCAGCAGGTTATATCTACCAAAAAAAGAATACTGCTGTATGTAGTTCACAAAATCTACAGCAACAATTGCTTGCAGCAGCAGAAACGCACAACAACAGCAGCACCACACGCGGATAGACACACACACAGAGAGAGACGAGCACTCCTCTAAGTACGGGGCGTTGTGTGTCGTCGTGTCCTCCTGTTCCTCTGAGGCCTAGCGTCTCCTGGGCATCCCGGGTGCGAAGGGTGGCCTTGGCGTGAAATATGTGCCAGTATGGCAGTATGGACTGTTGAGGCTGTTGCTGCAGACGAGAGCTCTGCTTCCGAAGACAACGGGCGTTAGATCCAGGCTCCGAGATAATATTGAATTTGAGAGGGAGAGAGGAGAACCTCTTCGGGGACACTCCGGGCGGTTTCCCGGGGTTTCGATCCGTCCGGATGTTTGGACTGTGGTTCTCTTTTATAATCTATGGATTGCAAATATTCGCGCCCTTCGTAAACTTCGGTTTCAACAAAAGAAGGAGCACTTCTCCGACACAGGGGATACTTCGCTTTCACTTGATTTTACAGCAACAGCATCCCCTCCCCAGATCAGAGCTGCTATTCTTTTTTTTTTGCGCGTACAACGACGTGATTCACACATCATTGATTGAGAGGGACGTATCGGTTCTCGCGTGACACCTTCCGCCTCTTGTACCGTCACCTGCCCGCGACCCACGCCCACGCAAGAGCAAGTGAGCACACTCTCCACTCCTCCTCGTTCTTCGTGTGTGTGGCCGAGTGTTTTTGTTTTCCCGACCCAAGGCCGAAACGAACACACACGCCCTGCAGGCAGCGAGGTACAGCAGGCTCGGCCTTCCCCGGGTGTCGCTGCTGCTGTGTGTGTGACACACCACGAGCGCTTTACAGGGGTAAAGACACCGCTCGACAGGGGGGAGCGGCCGTTAGGAGAAGGCGGGAAACGGGTCTCACACACACACGCGCGCGCGGGGCGCAGGACGCCGGGGCTGAACAGAGACAGCAGCCTATCGCACGCCTCTAGACCGAGGCCATGACTTCCACAACCGCGGCGGCTGGCAGCAGCAGCAGCAGCAACAACAACAACGCAAGGGGATTGTCGGGAATGATGGCTTCCTTGAACCCCTTCAACAAGACCAGGGGGCGCCACGGGGGCAGCAGCTCGACCTCGAGGAGCAGCGGGGGCAGGGGGGGGGCAGAGGCGGTGCCACGGAGCTACGCCGTGAACGGAGTCCGGTCCAGCTCCGAGCGGCTCCCGGAGCAAGGGGACGATCCACTGCTACAAGCAAGGAGGTGAGGTGTGCGAGGGCGTCGTTTTTTTTTTCTTGTTTCGAGAGAGAGAGAGAGAGAGATATGTTTCGGGACAAAGGGGCGCGCGCGCGAACTTTTTTTACACCTTGTATGAAGTGTGTATCATTCCGAAGCTCTTTCTGAATAGCGCCTCAGCAGCAGCAAAGAGAGAAGCGAGCCGTTTTCCGCCAAGGCCTGCCGCATGGTGTTGGCCGTGCTACTTCCTCTCTCTCATACCGATGGTCAACCTACAGCCGCGCGCACTCCATGTACTACCTGTTGTCGGTTTTAGAAATCAATACTGTTCTACAAACCACGTCCGTCAGATCTGGCATCTATGTGTGTGCCTGTAGTTTGTGAGCCAAATGCGCATACAAAATTAGTCCGTTTTACAACAGGATATGTACTCCCCAAACCCAAAAACAATTACTTAAATCAAACACCCCCCATATAGGTTATATCTTGCTTCCAAATCCTGCGGGGACGCACGGCCATGAACGTTGTAGTATACTTAATTAAGGAATAATAAAAACACACACAGAAAGACTACCCATTCGAGATATACCCACATACCCTCGGCAGCAAGATTAGATTCCGCATTCTGAAGTTTCTCGGGCGCCTTCAACTTTGGTCAGCTTGTTTGTGTGCGAAGATTGCTTTCCCCAAGACCTTACATAGCGCATGCCACCACCTCTGTTCAATAAGCCACCATGACGTGCGACTGATGACCTCTCGCTGGCTACTAAAGAGGATGACTGGTGCTGTGTCGATACTGCTCGATTTTCACGATAAGTATAATAGCTCATGCCGCACGAATTAGAAGTGATACACGACACGAGACGGCTGGTACGTCCGACCAAAGAATAAGAAAAAGTTTCTCCTCGATTGATTATCTACAACGCTCGACCAGTTTCGGCTTGGTAAAATATTGAAGTACATCCGTAGAAAGTAGGTGTGATGAAGTACTCTGCTGTAGACAAACGCGCTGATACCTAGGAACGAACAAATAATTCGCCTCTGAGCTGAACCCTTCCTTCGCAGGTCGTGCCTCTAAACAGGAGGCAGGGTGACGCATATTTGGAAGAGAAAAGAAGAGAGGAGATGAGGGCGTTCTGGCGCTCTTCTTGCGATCAATACTCCGCTCCGAGGGCGCGCCCCCCCTCACTCACACATCACACGTATTATGTGTGCATGTCCGTGAAGAACATTGGAGGATGCTACTTATAATAATTCTATTCACGTAGACTTAGATATGACGTGTTCTTAAGGTCCTGCTGCCCTACAGCAGTATGCCGCGAATAGTTTGTGGCGGGCACGTGCGGTTTTTGTTGTGTGTCAACGCCGACGCCCACAAGAAATTGAGGGAAAGAGACCGGCAAATTCCACGTACTTTTATCCACACTGCTTGCAGCAGCAGTTTTTTTTTTTTTTTCTTAATATGACACAACGAAACCATCTCTATTATAGAAAAGAGTCTGAGACAGATTAGCAATGGATTCATAGCGTCAGAAAGTACCTGTATGTCTACGATTTCCCAGACAGCATATAGGGACATCTCCCCTGCGGGTAACAGGCTGAACAAGACAGTTTGGTAGCTGTCTTGTGTGTCTAGCAGCAGTTTTTGCATTTCCGTGATTTTATTGTTCGGATTTACTGGTGGGGGTTTGGGGGGGCTTTATAGTGCCGGTAAAATCTTGGGACACACGCCGTCACTTCGAGGCCCCCCCACGGTATCTACTTCCATGAATTTGATCGTGGAACGGCGTGTGTTGACGTAATGTGTATGCATCGTTAGTCACCCCGATTATGGTGCTCGAGTATCCTGGGTGAATGGAATACCTCCTCCTCGATGAAGCAACATGATGCAGTCCAAGACATGTAGAGCTGCTCAAATAGCACGATAATGTTTCACATTAAGGTACAGTACGTTCGTACCTGCATGGAGGACAGACCAAGCACCAGTAGTCTGCTGTCTCTACACCCGTCACTGATGTATAAGCCAATCGGTTCATGTCAAGGTCAACTTTGGAGTCAACCGCATATTTGAAAGGTACTCCGTACTCCGTATTGTGCACAACTACGAAGTATAAACTATTTGTCCTTGAAGACACTGTTTTGTGGGATGGCGTACATACGTGAACGCTGTACATTGAACATTGTAACGCACACAAACTTTCTACAGCTATTCTACCGCTGAACTTGTAAGACCTGATTGAGCCATGAGGGTGGAATGTGAAAGCCAGCCGCCCCCGCGTCCGCCCACGCACCAGCTGCTGCATAGAGATTGCTGGCGTTTCACTCTCAACGGTGAAACGGCAAGCGAACCATAAGGCGTTTCTTACTCCGGAAGTGTCGTTTGTGGCAAGGTCCTTCTGTGGAGACGGGCCACCCTACGTGCGTCCTCTCAGCTCCTGAGCGGTTGTGCAACAAAGACCCTAGATATTCCTTCACAGTCGCAGTGCTTGGACTACATACGAAGGCCAAGAGCCCGCCACTACATATCCCGCCAAATACCCTCTTCGCTTGAGGAGACAGACAGGTTATAGAGCTGTAGGCCGTTATCGCTGGCCGAAGCTGCTGGTGCTAGGTATGTGCCTCCGGGGATTTTAGAAGCCGAAACCAACACTCGAACCCCGCGACTGTGTTTCCTAGACTAGGCTAGACTAGTTACTGACTAGTCTAATGGTTTTGATTTCGGCTTCTTAAAGGCTGTGGAGTATCAGCAAGTGTGGGAGTACCATTTCTGATCTCTCCCCTGCTTTGAGTGTTTTGCTTTGGGTTCGTGACCCTGCCAGCAACGTTGGTATTGCTCACTCACTGGTGGCGGGCCCGGCTGGGAAGCACTCCTCACTAGTGTTAACACTCTCCAGAGCACTCGTCTATGACATAAACGTCATTGTTCCATAGAGGAGCTGTGTTTGTGCGGTTTTTCATCCCCCGCTATTGTAACCCTCAGCCGAAGAAGATACGCGTAAGACAGACGGATGCGGAGCATTAGGTTTGATACCCTGCGCTGTTTACATCTGTTGGTCGTGCTGGCGTGCCTCTCATTTTTTTCCCCTTGTGTGCTTGTATTTTCCTTTTCAGGCAAAGTGAGAGCGCTGTCCGCTCCGAGTTTGCTGCTTCCGCGGGCGGCGCCGGTGGGTCGAGGGCAGATGGGGGTGTTGTGGTCGGCGAGTGGGCGCCGGGCGCGACAGCCATGGCACCGAAGGCCACAGTGGGCTTGACTGAGTCGAAAGTGAGCCGCTGCTTTGCTCTTTCGGGGTGGTGGTGGTGGGTGTTGCCATGGTGTGTTTGTTGTCATGTTGTCATGTTTAGTGAGGGCGGTGTTGGCGGTGTTGCTCCACCGGGAGTGGTACGTGCATTGCCGGTTCGGATTTACCTTGTGTTGCGTTTCGTGCCATTCCCCACAAAGTTTGGGGGTGATGGCTCCAGAAGAGTATTCGCCAAACTTAGGGGTGTTTGTTTGCTGCAGCAGGAGAGTGACTGCTGCTGTGTGTCATTTCCACTGTTTCCTTTCTGTCGTTTTTTTCCCCCCCCCCCCCTTCGCCCCCCCTGGTGTTTGCCATCGGGGTTGGGTTTTCGTCGCTTGACAGCGATGTTGTAAAACAAGCCGATCACTTCGTGAGCTCGGCAACCAGGTTACCGCTTTTTTTTTTTTGCCTTTTTTTTTTTTTTTGCGGTAACCATGAATGGTGACCGAGTAGATTTTGTTGTGCGGGGTCGAGAACCCTCGCTCCGCGCAAAGGAGATAATCGCACGTTGTGTTAAAATGGTCAAGCATCCTCGAGGCAGTTACACAGCGCTTATAACTGTCTATGGAAGTGAAAGCACCAGAAAATAAATTAAGTCATAGGCAGTTGTCATCCGTAGGCAGGGAAGTAAGCACAAGATGCGGAGCACCTTTAGCAGGATGAAGTTCACCTTTCATGGGATTGGCCGAATACCTCAGGGGGTTTCGCGTTTGGTGATGTGAGAGCCTGTTCCGGTGAGAACCGGGCGTGCTCCGTCCCGGCATTGTAGGGATGGGAGGTAAATGGTTTAACGATTACGGCATGCAGGATTAGGAGTACCCCCCCCCCCCCCCTCCTTCCTGCCCACCTGCCCACCCCCGGTCGCTCCCCGCTGACCCATCACCTTGATCCCTTAATGTGTTGCTTTTTCGACCCCCGGCATGCATGGCGTGGTGTCGTGGTTGCTTTGTGTTTGCGCGGCGGCGGTGGCGGCGGCGGCGGCGGCGGGGGGATATCAGGCTGACGAAGACTCACCATCCGTGTTGTACAAGGGCAGGGTGAGTTGGGACGGAGCCGGGGGGGTGCTTTGACAAGCAGGCTGTTCGTGATGCGTGACATCTACTGGCGATGATGTTGTATTTCCTCTCCGCTTTAGCAATGATTGTGTGACATGTACTCTGTAGGCTACTCTGTCTTGCGGTCCAGTCATAGTGCGTGATGTTTTGCACCGTTTGTGTTCCGAAGGGCTTTTGTGCCCTTTGTTTAGCAACACTTTGACGCATCGAAGAATCGAAGACATGCACATGCATGGCATAGGAATGATGCTGCTGTGCGCGGGTCTCCATCATGGTCCCCTTACAATAGAGAGTAGACCGCACAGGCCGCATGGTGGGTAGGACAAGTAGCGACTGCGTTATTCGTGATTGCTGTTTATTTGTGTTTGCCACGCTCTTTTTTTTCATCTCCTGCGCTTGTTCTACGGGCCGTCCGATAGCCTTGTTCTTCGTCCATCCGTTAGACGTCGGCCGTGCACGGAACCCCCTCATTGTTTTTTAACGTTCTTCCTTTCCTTAACCTTCGTCTTGTGGTCTGCTGTGCACATGATCCTCATGAAATCGTATTCGTCGCATCCGTCCACCTGTCC